GGGGGTGATAGTAGACATAATATATATAATTTTGTGACAAAATATATAATGTATGGAAGGGGGGGAGGGGGAGGAGGTGATAGTAGACAGATATATATCAATTAATTAATTGAGTATACGTGTAGCTAGATAGGTGAGCAGGTGGTATACATGTAGGAGGTGGGTAGAGGGAAAGATCTATGTATGGAGTGTGGGATAGGAGGATGGGGATGCGGATCGGTGCATAATCTTGAACAATTATCACTTGGGAGGCCAAGTGATAGTGGACGGGCTTGATAGTGGGCATCTTCGGCTTAATGAGTGTTTTTTTTTTTTTTTTTTTTTCTGAGCGAGTGGGGGGCCCGATAAACACCCATGTGCATTGATGAGCAAGTGGTGAAATGCTTATGTAGATTTATGGATCTATTGCTCTTAGCTCAATCAGTTGACGAGTTTACATGTCTTACTTATTTTTTGACAGATAGCTGAATTGATGATGGGTCAATTGATTGCTTCACTCAGATGAATTGATATGTTGATTGATTGCTTCACTCAGATGAATCGATTGCGTCACTCAGATGAATTGATATGTTGATTGATTGCTTCACTCAGACGAATTGATTGATTAACTGATTGCTATACCCAGTGCTTGTTTGTTCGATAGCACGTGAACTGATATGAATGTCTTGTTAGGGAACTAGAGAGGTAGGTAGATTGATGATCAGAGTGATAGATGGCCGGAGGTATTGATGAATGGAGGGATGGGTGGCCGTTAGATATCAGAAGATGCATGGATAGCCATGGGTAAATAGTCGTCATATGGATGGACACATATGGATTTTATATAGGTAGTGTAGTGGGTAGACAAACAGATAGATTCCTTTCTAGATCCACGAGGTATATTGATTGAAGGATTGACGGATTAGTCGTTTGGTCAGTTGGAAACTGATTGAAGCGGTTTGATTGATTGATTGATTGATTGATTGATTGATTGATTATGTGATTGGCTAGAGTCCTTAATTAACAGTTTGATAATAGATCGGTGTGCTGACGTTCGCTCCCGATAACCACATGATGTATGGATTGCTAGATAGGTAGATTGAAAGAGGTAGATGGGTAGATAGGCACCCCGATAGATTGATTGGCCGATGAATGGACATGAGCGGCACGCGTAGATGTCCGATGGTCGAGGACTTGATAGTACTGTATTTCAACGTGAGCAGCTTAACACATGGATATGCCTTCAAATATACGGGGGTCAAAGAGGGGTCGCTAGCTGCACATATATATACACATAAAGAGTGTATAGATTCATTGCCGTCGTCTTTCAGTTGCCTTTGCGTGGCATGAATCACTCGCCATTCTTTCTTCCCCTCTGATCCTCTGATACTTGGGACCCACCCGCTCGTGCTCATGTCGGCTTGAGGAAGGAATAGGTCCCGTTATGCGCACGTGCAGCGCGCCAAGTCGCAACTTATCCCTCAGTCGCACAGTCGCGCAACTTATGCTGAGGCGTGTGACTGTGCGACGGAGGGAGGGCGACTGGTGTCTTACTTTTCTCTTCTCTCGAGCAATGTGATTACTTGTCCCTTGCCACCATCTCTCTTTACCTGGTGACCGAACTCAATCCCGTTGTCCTTCAGACAGTATGTCGAATTCTTGATTTGATCATTTTGGTATCCGTTGTTGTATTCCACGGGTCGTCCTAGCGGTGTTGTTTCTTGCGCTCTGTTTTTTTTTTCGCTTCCTGAGGTCGTCGTAGAGTGAGTGGGCTCTCTTGCAACAGCCGGCGCGTTGAGTGAGTGGACTTTCTTGCAAAATCATCTCTATGCGCGACATACTGGTTGTCGGGATGCTTTGGTGCGTGCGACGCACACATCTTCGACAGTACTTCCATTTTTGAGCTTTTGGGGGGCTTTTGGGGGTGGGTGGCTTCACGGCACGGCTGTCTTGTTGTGCTGTCAAACTCAAAAGAGGTGCTGTGTACGACCAAAAATGCTTCGTCCTGCAAAAATACCGAGGGGTACAGCAACGTCTGTGTCTTGCAAAAAAGCTTTTTGCGCAAAGAAAATTCGCCTGGATCAACTGGCAGTGTCGGTAAGATCAAGAAGCTTGAGTGGTGAGTGCTGTGTTTCGAAGCCAGCAGGTGGACAAGTGGATTAATACTAGGTTTAGTAAAAAAAATTTTAAATCTTTTCCCCGAAGTGTTGGAATTTGACGGCCGATCATGATTTTTTTGGATTCTCGCCCAGATGCGACGTTAGCCTGATGGGTGGATGAATTGACAGGGCCCATCTGCATGTGTGCCAATTGGTGTGGGGTGCAGGATGAAACCCTCCGGAGAGCTGTGCAGTGCTACAAGGGCAAGAATTGGAAGAGGATTGGTAAGTATTTTTCTTGCTGCCATTCAGTTGCCTTGAGTTTGGTGGTGCTGTTTTTTTTATCGTTGAAATTGTCCTGAGGAGGATGTCAAACCCTCTACTGCAAGGAAATGCATAAAAGACCGACCGGTGAGAGATCGCGGCAGATTGTGATGGCAAGCTTCTTTGCCTGAGCAGAGGCGACCTTCATTGTCCTTAATAATGAAATTTCTGCGACCAGACATCCGTTCCCACGGGCACGCACACACACACACACACACACACACACACACACACACACACACACACACACACACACACACACACACACACACACACAC